CCCTGTACCTTCCACAAGACTCTACTAGACTCATTTTGGTACATCAAGATCAATGAACCTAGGCTCTAATACCAACTTTCTAATGACCCAGACCATCATGATTGACACCCACACTAATCCTCCGAAGGGAGAACCACTACTACAGCCCAAACCAACTAAACCAAAATCAACTAAAGCATTTAACGATAGGAAAATAAGAATAATGGCTAAAATGGAAGTTCCCATAAACTTCAACAAAAGGTCTAATAACAACTAACATTACAGAAGTAATGCCTAGAATCTGAAAGTCAATGTACCAAAACATCTAAAGTTCAGCAAGTCTAAACAACCCCAACTAATTAACTAATAACTAACTAAAAAGTCTAAGTCTATAATGTGGACGTAGACGGAAAAATGAACTCATGGTAGCCCGGAAGAACTGGCTCACCCTTGAATTCAAAGAGATCACTCATCTTCTAGATGAGGTCTGTCAATAGCTGCCTGAAAATACCTTGTACTTAACAAAGAAATAGAAAGTGCAACACATATAAGTCAATATTACAATATAATCACATGCATATATCGAAATATACAACATTATCAACATTTTTGAACAACGTAGAGTTTCACATTTCTCAAGTATCTCAATTGTATCAAATCATTAGTACTCTCATGGAACCCAACCCAAATAGTTTATGCCGAAACGTGGCAACCGATCCCATATTTATACTAAAATGTGGCAACTGATCTAAGTTAGTTATGTTGAAACGTGGCAACCAAACCATTCAACACACCACAATCACAAACACAAGTACATTCTCACAATCATACAATTGAGTCATCATTAAATGACATTCAAAACTATATATCCTTATTTATAACAAGTGTGATCAATAATGTTACATCCACGTAGATACATGTATCATAATGAAGTAAGACATACATACATCACACATTAATGATATCACAACCATCATCTACCTCAAAACAAGCTTGAAAGCCTAATAAACTTGATCCTTCCCTTTTTGAATTCGCTTTGCTTGTTCTTGATCTACAAACAAACAATATAGCACGGAAATTAATAAACAATAACCAATAACCCGAATTACTAACAATTCTATGAACCCTAGATCAAACTCAAGATCTCAAGTATCTAAACTGGGCTTTTGCCACCATATTTTCTAAATGAAAATCCTCTCCCATCAATAATTACCCATTAAATTATGTTCTACGGATTGAAAAATGGATTTAAGGAGTGAAAACCTTACCTTCAGCCTCAAGAATGGTGGAAAACTATCAAAAATCGTCTATCAGGCCTGCCACAACGGCAACCATTTCGCTACAGCGGCCTAGTTAAACCGACCAAAAGCACCGCCAAAGCGACTTGCATGAAAAATGAGCTATTTTAATAATTTTAAGACCCCCATTTCACAATTCACCTTTAACCAGCGACCCTCAAAAAAATATCGTTCATGCCAAGATCAATTCCGAGATTTCTTCTCACTCAAATTCAATTTCATTAAATTGTACGGGTTCCTTAACGATTTATCTATCCACTCATGTAATCAAATCCGTAATTAAGATCACCCAATTGCTACTGACCTAGGTAAAATTCCAAGTTAATATGGGAAAATAATTTCAACCCAAAAATTTTCCCCGTTGATTTTTCTATAACGACGGAACTCAGTTGTTACATGTTATATTTGCCCTTTCGTCATACTTTTTTGATATATTTTCCCCTTTCATCCAACTTCAGGCACATAGTTTCTCTTTCATCTCTAAGTTTTATCTCCCTGCTTTTATTATCTTTTGTGGCGCCTACGTGAAGCATCTACATGAATATGTATATTCTTTCCGCTTAATTTTTCTCCTAGTTTAATTACTATACCCACCCATCTCATCCATAAAATCAAACAATAAAAATATTCACTAATCGAACCCATAAAGTTTAATTCATTATATCTCTATTACCATCACTTTCCGAAATAACAACAAGCTTGTATAGTGTGCACGCATTAGGGTTGCTCATCCATGTCTTAATCCAATTCAGGGTCGTATTGACCATAAGATCACTAAAGCAATTGCTTGGGGCCCCAATTTATTTGGGTCCCCATTTTTAATCTAAATATGTATATGTATGTAGTAGAAATTCATGTATTGATAAATTTGAAAATAATTTTTATATAGAAAATATAATTGTGAAATAGAATATTAGTTTAGCTGATTGTAGTATCTTTTCTAGATTCTTTCGTGGCTAGTTAATTGTTGTATCCTTTATAGTTTCTCATGTTTCTATCTATTTTGTTGTCTAGATCATTTACATTTTGAGTATTATCATGAACCAACAATACTGAGTTCTTATACTTACTTTTCTTTATTCTCCTTTCACTATTTTTTATTTTTTCACGATTGAATATTCTAATTCTCTTAAATAATTAAACCCTATACATAATGTAAAATCTATTGTTGAGTGTTTATAAAAAATATCAAATTTGTTTTTAATTTCTTATTCAAATTTTAAGCACGAAAACTAATCAACACTATTTTAATATTATTTGGGAATGCTCAAGTACCCCCTCAACCCATGGCCGAAATCCCAGAGACACACTTATACTATACTAAGGTCCAATCCCCCCCCCCCCCCCCCCGCAAACTTATTTTATAAATAATTTTCTACCCCTTTTCGTCCTACGTAACATTATCTTGTGGGTCTAGCGTGTGTTGACGTTATTTTTCAAACTAGTGTCACGTAGGCCGAAAAGAGGTAGAAATTATTTATAAAATAAGTTCAGGGGGGTAATAGGACCTTAGTATAGTGCAAGTGTGTCTCTGAGATTTCAGGCATAGGTTGAGGGGGTACTTATGCATAAGTGTGTCTCTGAGATTTCAGGTATAGGTTGAGGGGGTACTTATGCATTTTTCCATATTTTATATCAACTTATCAAATTCATCACAACACTATTTTAAAATCATCATATTCTTAACGAAAAATGAGTCATATTTTGTTATTCTAACTTTATATTATATAATTTTCGTTAAAAATTTACATTATCTGTATTCTTACTTCATAATATCCGCATATATCTTGTCTCTCCATATCTCATTTGTAGGATTACACTGAGTATGTTATAATTACTCAATTTATATTTGTCTATTAAAAATATAGAGCTTCTTTATGAAGTTTGGCTTTAGGTCCCATACTTATTGAGACAGGCCTGGTTCAATTTGACCAATTTAGTGTTGAAATAGTGCAGAAATGGTGGTTAAATAATGTTGATAGGCTGGTGAAACTTGTGGTAATAGATTGCAATAAAAATATGTTAAAATTTGTATTTAAAAAATAGCGCTGAAATGATGGTTAATTTGTTGGCGCATTATTTTATGTTGAAATACTGTTGAGAAAATGGTGGTTAAATTGTGCTTAATTGGCTTTTTCATTTTTGTGTATTAAAATAGAGTTGAAATTAAATAGCGCTAAGATGTATAGAAAAAATGATGAAATGTTGCTTAAATTTGTATTTAAAAAATAGGGCTGAAATGTGGTTAATTTGTTGGCGCATTTTTTTATGTTGAAATAATGTTGAAAAAATGGTGGTTAAATTGTGCTTAATTGGTTGTTGCATTTTTGTGTATCAAAATAGAGTTGAAATAAAATAGCGCTAAGATGTATAGAAAAAATGATGAAATGTTGCTCAATTATTTGGGACGCGGCTCCTACATTTTGTATAGTTCAAGGTGGGATATTTAAGGATTGGCTTTTATGGGTAAGATGTTGAGTATCATATTGAGTTTGGTAAAATAATTAAATTGTAAGAAAATTTTAAGTAAAACAAACATATTATATATAATAGGGGGTAATTCATGTGTGGCTCCCTAAAGTTGGCATCAACTTTCACTTAGATACCTTAATTTGACTTTGTTCATTTTAGGCACCTCAAGTAAATTTTTATTGTGTCACTTCGATACTTTTTGCATAATCGTCATAAAGAGTGTGATACTCTCATTTATTACGCGTGAAAAGCTTATTTAAACAATTTATATTTTTTTTTCTTCTTCCTCATTTTCAGTCTCCATTTTCTAGCTTACTTCATCCATGGCGACTGTTTTAAAAAAAAAAATCAAGATTTAAATATTGAAATAATCATGAAATTGTTTTTTTTTGAGGAATTTACTATTGTAATATCGAAGTGGATTTGGTTTTTTCTCTTCCTTCACAGGTCTTCAAACTTAGCTTTTACTATAAGTGCTCTCTTAATTATTTTTCTACAGTTAATTTTAATAATTTTTGTTCAATTTAACTACATTGTTATTGATTAAGAAGAATCAAAATCCATGATTTAGCTTTATTCTTTTATATAATTAAAGGGTTTGTGTATGATTGAGAAGCATCGTCGAGGAGGGGGCACCGATTCTTTTTTTAAGAAAACATTGGAGAAGTCACTGAGAAGACTGCAAAATAGCTTTTTGTTAATTGGTTAAATATTTTTTTAATTATGTTGGAAAAAAATGGCATATGTCATCAATTTATTGGCTACTTTCTTAATTTTTTTCTCAAAGTTTATTATTTAAGAATAATTTTGGGCACAAATTGACAAATGTCTTCATTTAATTGCACATTTTACACGTCATTTGTGATTTATTAAACATTATATATTTTTGTTGATTGTAACGAAAGTGGCAAAATGACACAAAAAGAGCTTACATGAAGTGTCTAAAATGAACAAACTCTAGCTAGAGTGTCTAAGTAAAATAAGTGTTAATCTTAGGGGGTCACCGATGCATTAGGCTTATAATAGGAGAAGAAAAAAGTATCACGACACAAAAACAACCTTTTAAATAATTATTAATTAAAAATTAAAATATATTTATTTTTAAAAATGAAAAAATAAGAATAGTTATTAATTCAATAAAATTAGTTTTTAGCGCTTTTAAAAAGAATTTTTTTTATAGTACACTTACCTTTTACTGATTTTCAATATTTAAATTAAAAAAATTGTAAAAATTGAGGGTGATTTATTAATTTTAATCTATTTCTTTTTTAGAAAATGAATCAACATTAGTCATTAGAGAATTTTACGGAATATGTTGGAATCATAAAAATAGAAAAATAGAATAGATTATCTTTAATCATATAAGTAATAATTTTAGGAAAATAATAAATTGAAAACTTATGAATAAAAAAACGGTTGTGAATCAACCATTTTCAAAAAATAAAAATTAAACTTTTTAAACTCTTTATTAAAAAAAAAAAAGCAAAAATGGCCACTAATATATTAGGAAAAACCATTCATATACAAAATTTCAAAAAAATTAATTAATTAAAAGTGTAAATGGAAAAAAAAGCAAAATAAATCAAGCATATTCAGTTAAATGATTTAACTTTAATAATAAAGAAAAAGTAAAATGGCCACTAATAATGTAACCTTTCCATTTTTTACTTTCTACTATATGATAAATGACAATAAGCACACAACTCTTCAACATGTTTCTGTCAGCAAAAAGGGCATTACGGTCGTTCCCATTATACAACTTTGTCTGCCACGCATAGCCCAAATCCTTTACTCATTACCTCGTCGCTTCATCTTTCTATTGTCAACTCCAGTCTCCAGCATTCATTCTCTATGTTGAAATTATTTACCTTATTCGCACCTCTTGAAGTTCGGCTTGTGCATAAATTTCTTGGGTGAGTGCGTTGCTTCTCTCTGCCTATGTATAACTGCGAGTTCTATATTTTCTTCATGGTTTGCTATTTATTTTCTTTCTTGTATGTGTTATATTTTTGACATAATACATATATTGGACCCTAAAATTGAGTTTAAATTTTAACTTTGACCTTCAATTTTTATAATGAACAAACAGACACTTTAATTATCCAACTTTTAAATAAATAAACACATGAGTCCTACATGGCAAAATACACGTAGGACCAAAAATGACATGTAGGATGACATATAGGACATGTGTGTCTATTTGTTCAATTTTATACAGGTTTAAGTGTCTACTTGTGCACACCCAAAGTTGAAGGGCATAACTGTGATTTGAAGTCAAGTTAAAGGATATATTTATGTATTATGCCTATGTTTTTTCTCTTGCCTTGTAAATGAGCTTTAACCGATAAGTTATATCTCGCAAATTGAGATAGTTAGGAAGAAGCTTAGAAGTTGAAATAGTAAGTTTTGGGAAAGAAATAAAATCTGTAAATTTTCTTAAGTTAGAAAAAAAGTGAGTTTTTTGTCAACTCCAAGCACAGAATGAGTTAGAGGTATATTTTTCATATGGTTGGAAAGCCCTTGGAGAGATCTTTCCAACACCGTCGAGTTTGTACGATTTCAATTTCGTATGAGTGAGATATGCTTTTCGGAAATTGGGTTGTTCGATGAAGGATAGTTCGATCCGAATTTGGAAAGGGCAAAGTTGTCTTTTCCTTACCCAATTATATTATTTTATTTTTGGGTAATAAATTGGGGTCTAAACTGATTTCATTCAATTGACACTTTTAGAAAAGAAGTTAGGATTTTGAGAGAAGAAAAAAATGAGGAGAAAGGAGAAAAGGAAGCAAAAACATTCAAGATCGTCGAAGTTCGGCTTGTGGAAATCGCCTGGGGTGATTCCTAAAAAGGTATGTTAGATCTTTCTGTGTTGGGTTCTTCCACCCACACACCAATTTGATTCAATTCAGCAAGTTAGAGTAGACTGGATGATGAACATTGATATTTTGATGAACAATTATCGAATTCTTGATTGAATGTATAGTAGCATGTTCTTGTTGATTTAATTCGTGTCTTTGGGCTGTTTTATGAGTCTAAACTATTGGTTATTGAGTATATTAGTGATTATAAGTGTTTGGGAAAAGATCCATGGAAGATTGAAAAGTTTAGAGTTGAAAAACCAAGAAGGAAAGTCGAAACGTGCATCCGTAGGGCCTTGGGGATCACATAGCCCCATAGGACAGTGTCTGTCCGTAGAGGCTTAGGGAGGCGCACCATCCAAAGTGCCCCAACTTGGCCTCTGAAGTTTGGGGCCTGGCACCCCACACCTCTCAGAGCGTCAAGAATGTCAGTTAACCTTATTTATTCCCCATCTTTCGTACTAGTTTCTAAGTGATGTACCTACATTTCCTAGTTGATTCAAACGCTCTAATGTACGTCTAAACATCATCAAAGCATCCATAAACATGAGATTATGAACTTTGAATCCATAATCCAGTTCAAGGAAAGTTAGGATCAAAGTCTAAAAAACTAAGAGTTAAGTCTAAAGGTTAAAAAGTAAGACAAGTAAAGTTTCTTAAAGTTCCAAGAGTCTTATTAAAATATTTTATCTTCGTTTTAAGGCTCAAGTCTCGAGTTAAAGAAAGAGTAAAAGTTGAAGTCTTTACTTGAAGGAAATATAAGGGAATCAAGTATTTCCAGAAGATTCATATCAAAACTCAAGTTTCAAGCTTAGTAAAGAGTAAAGAGTTAAGTTGAAGTTCTTTTCTTCAGAAGTTTAGGGAGACTAAGTATCCCCGAAGATTTTAAAATGTTTTCAAATTTAAACAAAGAAGCTAAGTTTTCCAAAGAGCCTTCGGGCTAGTTTTCATAAAAGAGTTATAGCTTTATAAAATGAAGCAAGCAGGGAAACTATGATTTCCAAGAGAGTTTTTTAAAGCTATGTTTTGGGCACTAATCTCAAATCACAGAATCAATATGTTTTAAAAACATAAGAGCTAGTATATTTTTGGGAGTAGCATTGAGTACCTATGTGGAGATGCTAGTTTCAGACTAACTCAAGTCTCCATGAAAATCATGTAGTCATCATGGGTAGAAAGGCTCATACTTTTTTAGATGAATCCTTTTTGCAATTTACTAGTGGATCCATTAGGGAGTTCAGGTCCTATACTTTGACAGGTTTAGGATGGTCCTTGGCTGCGTGAGATAAAAGGTTGTCTCATCAATATAACTATTAAATGATAGTTGTCGGTTAGAGAAACTCCCACAGTAGTAGTAGTTGCATGGTTCTTCAAGAGGTTCTGTTTAGTATGAATGGGGGTATAAAACTACATTCATGATTTGCATAAGTAGACTTTGAGAGGAAGAATGATATATTTTCTTTATTATTATGATTATGAGTTTACATCAGATTATTTTGTATTTTAACATACATTAAGTGTTAATGGTATCTTTTAATATACATAGTTGGAAACCATGTTTTAAACATCTTTTCTTTAAATTTCACATGTCTTTAAACTGCTATATAATGAGATGAGTAGTCATAATGAGTTAGTTATTCATGAGATGAGCAAAACGAATGTAAGTGTCCTTTCTTACTCCTTTTCAAGCCTATGTTGTTTCAGCATTTCAATTTTCATACTCATACATTCAATTTACTGATGACAGTAGGCCTGCATCTTATTATGATGCAGACACAAGTAACTAGGATCGACATTCCAGCGCACAGTTGATCCAGTGAGTAACTGAGTTAGTTGATTAGCCTCCCTTCATTCCGGAGGACATCTTTATCTTTCAGTTTTCAGTTGTTAGGATGATGGGGGGTCCTGTCCCAACATCCATCTTTAATTTAAAGGCTTTATAGACAGATAGAGTTAGTTCTTTAGTCTTTTCATATCTCTTGTAAACGATAAAACTTGAGTTTCCATTTTGGGCTAAGTATTATTTTAAAGTTATTTCTTGAGTTAAGTCTTCCACTGAGTTAACTAAGTCAGGTCAAGGATTTGCTTGGATCCTGCAATGATTTTCGAGTGTCAGTAACGTTTAGGGTGTAGACTCGGGGCATGACATAACTATTTACCAAGATTCCTCATTGAATCTTATATACAGCTTTACAAGTCTTAGAATTTTTTAAGTACACCTACTGATTTTGCGGTCGGTTGTCCATCTATCTTAATGCTAATCTATTTATGTATCGTCAAAGAGAACAAGTGTGTTGAGCTCATTAGAAAAAAATATGAACTTTTAATTAATAGCGAAAGAATCTCATTCACACGACTGTATCGTTTATGGTTTAGCTAAATTATTCTGCTCGCTGTGACTTTGTTGCGTTCCTCTTCCACCTTCAGCTTCACCCAGGCCACCAGAATTCTTCTTCTTAATTAACATATATATTATAGCTAAGAACTTACAAATGAAAATGAACCTTGAAAAATGATGATAACATGTTAAATTGCGAGGTGTTGCTGATATTTAAATTGCTATATAACAATCAGGTGGCATCATCATATTGAATAATTAAAAAATAGTTATCATTCATATTTCATATTGTGCTTCTACTGAATTAGTTGTGCTCTTATATGCACATATACACTTTACTCTAACTAGACTATTGTTGTCATCCCGTGAGAGGATACAACGTCGCGGTGACTCAATTCAAAAAGAAGTTAAAAGAATTTCAAAAAGGTAAAAAGGAAAAAGAGAAAAGAGAGTCGCCACATAATTTTTTAGATAGACTAGGAAATCTATTAACAAATTAACTTAAAAGAAAATCCTCAAAACCAATTGATTCTAGGTAAGGGGTTCAAGTTAATCTGAAGGGAAGGGATTAGACACCCTTCAGAATCCACAAATGTGTGACCTGACTGAATTCCATTTTTCAAATTGAGGAAGAGAATAAAGTAATGTACAAGTATAATTGTAGAAATAAAATTCGCGTCGAGAAATCAATAATCAAGAAGGGAAAATTATAGCAACAATCAATTTTATTATTTCAAATGCGAGTGTTACAATCTCTACAATTCCTCTGAATTCGCTTTTTCAAATATAAATTCAAGGGCTTTAAGTTTGTCCTTGAATCTATCATGAACTTGAACTTTATCTTGATCTTGAATTTTATTTGAGTTCAAGGGCTTCGAGCTTGTTCTTGAATTCGGTGGTTTTGATCTTGATTATTCTTGAACTTGAATGCTTGAATTCTTAAACTTGTAGCTTTGTAGAGAATTAAATGGTGTTTGTACCACGGAGTTTCTCTAGCTTCTTGTTTAGAATTTTCTCTGTCCCCTTTCTAAATTATGAAGACCCTTATTTATAGTTTTAGAATAGAAGAGTTGCGATTGGAATAGGATTCCGTTCAGCCAATCAGATTTTAGTGACATGGCATTTGGGATTTATAGAGCGGGCTTGTCATCTTTGACACATGTCATGATTTTATTGGTTTTCTTATTTGACTTGGCATGTCACATCATCTGCACACGTGGTGCCAAGATGGGCTCTAGAATGAGATGGGATTGGGTTTAACAAATTAGGTTCATCCAATATAGCCCAAATCAATTAATTTAGACTTGATTAAATTCATATTTATTGGACTTAAATATTTAACTCAATTATATCAATCCACAATATTTATTTGGATTAATATATTTATGAATTCAATATAATCCGAATTATTTTATGAATTTATATTTAATAAATTTTGAATGATTACAAATGCCCCCTGCTTCAAGTCTTGTCGAGATATTTATCTTTTAGAGACTAGGTTTGAAGCATTAACCAGTTACAAAATTCACCTTCGTTAAAAATGAATTACAATTGTAATCCTACTCAATTTCATATTCCTATATATGGTTTGTTGCCCAAACCAAAAAGAAATTATAATTCAATTAGAAATTGTAATCCTACTCAATTTCATATTCATATATATGTTTTATTGCCCAAGCCAAAAAGAAAATGTAATTGAACTAGGAGAAGGATTTTATCTCACCACATGACTTCTATAAATAGATATATTGTCTCCACAATTTTATCTTCAATTACATATTGTGAGCCTACGACGAAAAGGGCATACTCAAGGTAATTTTCCTCCTTTTTTATTTATTTTCGTCACTTTTTTACAGCTTGACATGTCTGTCGTAAAAAATTATATCTCATTGTAGAAAAATAAAAATCATAAACCGTTTGATTTTTCATAAAACTAGACTTTTAGATCTTTAACATACGCGAAATTATAAATTTAATACCTTAAGAATAGTGCTAAATTATTGTTTGAAGTTAGCTCTAGATTCTGTCATGCTAAAAATTCGTCACTTTTTTACAGCCTTATATGTTCGTAGTAGAAAACTCATATCTCATTGTAGAAAATTCAAAATCATGAACCGCTTGATTTTTCAGAAATTAGACTTTTCGATATCTAACATATTCAAAATTCAAAATTTAATACCTTCAGAATCTTTCTATATGATTTTTTGAAGTTAGATCTAGATTCTGCCAAGCTAAAAGTTCGTCACTATTTTACAGCCTGACATGTACGTCGTAGAAAATTCATATCTCATTGTAGAAAAATTAAAATAATAAACCGTTTAATTTTGTAGAAACTAGACTTTTCGATCTCTAACATATACAAAATTCAAAATTTAATACCTTCAGAATCTTTCTAGATGATTTTTTGAAGTTAACTCTAGATTCGCTAAAAATTTTCAAATTTGTATGACTTACTAAAAATCTCGTGTCTTGACGTAGGAACAAAGAAATCACAATCCGCTTGATGATTCCGAATCTAGAAATAAAGGTCTACAACACATACAAGATTCAAGATTTAATACCTTCCGGGTTTCAAACATCTTGACGGGTAACAATCTCTCCTTCACTTGTATTTTCCTCCTTCTTCTTCTTCTTCTTCTTTTTTTTTTTGTAGATCAACAAAAAAAAATTATATTTTACGGAGGCTACATAATGAAAGTATTTATCACATAAAAATGTGTTCAACGTCAATGCCTTAATAAAATAACTAAATAATACTCTCAAGGTGTTCCATGGCCCCGAATGCTTCACCAATTTGAAACTTTACTAGAATATCGTGTAACGCTCCCCCCTTGAAAATAAACTCAAGGTGTTACAAGGTTCCGAATGTTTAACCAACTTAAAGCTTTACAGAAATACCGTGTAATGCTCCTGCGTTGAAAACAAACTCAAGGTGTTACAAGATCCCGAATGCTTAACCAACTTGAAGCTTTACTAGAATACCGTGTAACGCTCCCCCCTTGAAAATAAACTCAAGGTGTTACAAGGTTCCGAATGTTTATCCATGAAACTTTACTAGAATATCGTGTAATGCTTTCGCCTTGAAAATAACCTCAAGGTTTTACAAAGTCCCTAATGCTTAACCAACTTGAAGCTTTACTAGAATACCGTGTAACACTCCCGCCTTGAAAATAACCTCAAGGTGTTACATGGCCCGAATGCCTAATCCTGAAGTTTTACTAGAATACGTGTAATGCTCTCGCCTTGAAAATAACCTCAAGGTTTTACAAGGTCCCGAATGCTTAACTAACTTGAAGCTTTACTAGAATATCGTGTAACTCTCCCACCTTGAAAATAACCTCAAGGTGTTACGAGGTTCCGAATGATTAACCAACTTGAAGCTTTACTGGAATATCGCGTAACGTTCCCCCCTTGAAAATAAACTCAAGGTGTTACAAGGTTACACATGTTTAACCATTAAGCTTTACTAGAATACCGTGTAACGCTCCCGCCTTGAAAATAACCACACTCAAGGTGTTACAAGATACCTGTAACGCTCCTGCCTTGAAAATAAACTCAAGTTGGTACAAGGTCCTGAATGCTTAACCAACTTAACAGAGGATAAACCCGTGAAAAGACCAGTTTAAGGTGCAAAGGGACAAATATTGTCCACCTTAAGGCATGGAAATTTAAAGACCCTTTTAAAGATAAATCCGTGAAAACTCTAGCTTAAGGTGCAAAGAGACAAGTTAGTCCACCTTAAGGCATAGAAATTTAAATATTAGTTGAACGATACATTCGCAACAAAGCTAGATTAAGGTGCAAAGGGACAAATATCGTCCACCTTAAGGCATGAAAAAATTAAAGATCCTTTTAAATATATACCAGTGAAAAGGTCAACTTAAGGTACAAAGGGACAAATATTGTCCACCTTAAGACATGAAAATTTAAAAAGATTCTTGTAAGTATACACCCATGAAAAAGCCTAGCTTAAGGTGCAAAGGGACAAGTTTGTCCACCTTAAAACTTAGAAATTCAAAGATCTATTGAGGGATAATCCGCAACAAAGCTAGCTTAAGGTGCAAAGGGACAAACCTCGCGCACCTTTAGGCATGGAATACAATTACATACACATTTGGAGACTTCTACTCACATACTTGAAGTCTTACCTTCATACTTAGAGGATTTGAATACTTCAACATGTATACTTAGAGAATTTGGATACTTCAAATAATAAACTCGAGGAATATAAAGACTTCAATTTGCATACTTGATCTAATTTAAATACGTCAATTGTACTAATAAGAGACTTATATTTTATAAAGGTTTGTCCCCTTCATTGACCTATCAATACTTTGTGCAAGTCTTAAGTTTGATGAGACAAAAGATAAAATAAAATATATATCGCTTTGACTTTCATGCAATAGATCAAGTGGTAACATTTTTTTTACACTCATGCAACTGAACTTAGAATATGGTTCGAAGCTCCTACGTACCTCAATAAAGAGGATCAAGTCACAATGTAGTTCTGGGGATTCGAGTGATTTTTTTTGTGTGTGTATGGTTATGTCGTGCACAGTTTATACTCTTGCGGGCCAGGAGTGACATGCAGTTTAGGCTCGTATCTTAACGAGCATCATCTTACTTCAAGAATAGTATCTCTTTAGGAATATGGCATTAATAGGACCGATCCTT